TTTTCAAATGGGAGAATCCTGGCAAAGGTGGGAGGGGAAACACCGTGAGCAAAGGCACTGATCAAGGATGTGTGAGAAAATGAAGTCAGCTCACGGACTCTGAATCCAAAGCAAGATCTTGTTCCTTTCCCACTTGACCCCTCCTCTTATGCTTACTTTAACATAAGCAGAAAGTGCTGTGCCATTAAAAAAGATACTGATTTAAGAGTCAGGGAGGTTCAGAGCAGGACAAATGATTGTTGACTATGAGGCAGAGGAGGAATGAGAGGGGATGGAGATACGAGTGGAAGGATTTTCAAATGGGAGAATCCTGGAAAAGGTAGGAGGGAAAACACCGTGAGCAAAGGCACTGGTCAAGGATGTGTGAGAAAATGAAGTCAGCTCATGGACTCTGAATCCAAAGCAAGATCTTGTTCCTTTCCCACTTGGAACCTCTTTTGAGTGCAGCATGACGAGATATTGTTACTCACGCCTTAAAAGAGAAAACTGGGGCTTAAAGAAGTCAAAAAACTTGCTCAAGTCAAAAGTTTATCCTTTTTCACTATACCCAGCTGCCAGTTATAGTTGATCCTTGAACATTGGTTTGAACCGCAGGGTCCTCTCACACACGAAGTTTTTTCCAATCAATAACTGTAAGTGTATTTCCTCTTCCTTATGATTTTCCTAATAACATTTTCAGTGTCAGATTTTCAACTGGGGGAGGGTAGGCCTTAGCACTCGTCCTTTTTCCTCTTCTATGTTCTATTTTCTGTTCTCAAAAATTCCCACTCATTCTTCTATCTAGGTCATCCAGCTGCCAGTTATAGTTGATCCTTGAGCACTGGTTTGAACCGCAGGGTCCTCTCACACACGGTTTTTTCCAATCAATAACTGTAAGTGTATTTGCCTCTTCCTTATGATTTTCCTAATAACATTTTCTTTTCTCTAGCTTTATTGTAAGAATACAGTAGAGAATACAAATAACATAAATTATGTTAATCGACTGTTATCAGTAAGGCATCCAGTCAACATTACCTATTAGTAGTTAAGTTTTGGGGGAGTCAAAAGCTGTGTCAGATTTTCAACTGGGGAGGGTAGGCCTTAGCACTCGTCTTTTCCTCTTCTATGTTAAATCTCTACCTTTGAAGACAACTGTGGTTTTAAGACTAATAAAAATAAAAACTTCTTGTCCTGGTCAGTGTGTTCAATGGTTAGAGCATTGACCCCTGCACCTAAGGGTTTCGGGTTCGATTCCCAGTCAAGGGCACTTACCTCGGTTGCAGGCTCAATCCCCAGCCTGGGCCTGGGTCCGAGCGTATGCAGGAAGCAACCAATCCATGTGTCCCTCACATCGGTGTTTCTCTCTCTCCCCCTCCTCCCTCTCTTCCACTCTCTCTAAATATCCTCCTGTGAGGATTTAAAAAAAAAGTAATCCTTCCTTTCCCTTGCTCCATCCTTCTTCCTATAAAAATCTTCCATTTTGTACAACCCCTCATGCTCCCTTCTAATTGCTTAGATGGGATGTTGCCCAATTCATGAGTTATTTAAAGCCAATTAGCTCTTCAAATTTACTTGGTTGAATTTTGCTTTTTAACAAATTAATAAAAACTTTTTTCTTACAAGGAAAAAACTGCTGACTTTTTAGTTCTTACTAGGTCTGTTACACATGTACAAAGATAGTGTTCAAGAGTTTGCAAAACCAACAACATGCCAGGAAACAACCTAAAAATCCAACAACGGTGAACTGTTTCAAGAAACTGTTGTACAGCCCTAACCGGTTTGGCTCAGGGGATAGAGCATCGGCCTGCGGACGCAAGGGTCCCAGGTTTGATTCTGGTCAAGGGCATATACCAGTAGGGAGTGTGCAGGAGGCAGCTGATCGATGTTTCGCTCTCATTGATGTTTCTAACTCTCTATCCCTCTCCCTTCCTCTCTGTGAAAAATCAATAAAATATATTTAAAAAAAAGAAAAAGAAAGAAACTGTTGTACAACCCTGTATCACAATACTGGGAAATCTTTAAAAGTATTTCATGTATATTTTATGTAAAGCTGTCCCTGATATTGTTTGAAAAAACGTAAGGTGCAGAACAATACATACAAAATGATCACACAATTGTCTCAATGTGTGAGTATGTGCAGAGAAGTCAGGAAGGCTGGCATCAATTAACAGCTGCCAGCCTGAGGAGGAAACCGGTTAGGGATGACAGAGTAACTTCACACACTTGTTTTCTGCGCATTTTTTTAAAACTGGCACGCACTGTCACTTAAGGACTATAAAAAGTTGTGATCCTGCCCAGTGCAGTCGAGGGGGAAAAGGCGAGTGTGAGAGCAGGAAAAGGCCTCTTTTTTCCTTGCTGTGGCCGCCCACAATTTGTGAGAAGCACCTGGTAATTAATCCCAAGATGGTTAGTTCCCCTGATTCAAACAGCCCCCCAATTCAAACTGCAAGACAAGATACGCTACTTTCAAGGCTCCATTCCTGCATCCCCCTCCTCCCTGCTGGTTTTACAACTCAGGGTTAACCTGCACCCAGAAGTCTCCCGTTAGCAGAAAGTTCCCCTCCTCCTCCCCTTCAAACAAGCCTCGGTTGAACTCTTTGTAACTTCGGTTCTAAGAATTTTTACAGGCGTTGGAAAAATACTGATAAGACACCTGCCAAGGACATCTGCCTGCATAGTCTCCTGAAGAACTAACGAACTGCCACCCCCTCCTGTCGGCTCAATTTCAGCCCAAAAGTCCTCCTCCCTTCCTTATCACTGTTGCCCTTGTATTGATTAGCAATGCACCGGCCCTTTCCCTTCCTTCCCTTCCAGGAAAGTAAAATAAGCTTCCTCTCTGCATTGAGCTCTCAGTGATGAATTCCTTCACAGCCGGTGTCCCCAGCCCCCCCCCCCCCCAAAAAAACCAGAATGAGCAGCAGCATTTTCCTCCGGCGCCGCTTTAAAACAGCGGTTTTCAAATATTAGGGTGCACAGGCATCACCGGGGGTGGGGAGGGGGCTGTGCTGATTAAAACACACATTCCTGAGCCTCCTCTCCCGATACAGTTGGGAGGTCGGCATGCGGCCCTAAGGTGAGCGCTCGGCAAACAAGCACCCAGGCCTGAGACGCGGGACCCGCAGCCCTGCAAACCGCTACCCTGAACTCCTGACGCACCTCGGGTCCTCCTCCCGCCGCCCTCTCCCACCTCCGTGCTCCCAAGTGCCTCCGTACCCCCAAAATCCTGAGCCCAGCGGAACATCGTTAAGCTGTCACTG